GAATATATTATTTATTTGAAATATATTTTTTTCTGGATCGTCTCGTAACTTTGTTTCAAGCGCTAATCAACCTTTAGGATGTGTGGCTATTGAAACTCAATTCACATGGTTGATTACAAGATGAACGCTGCCTCTTACACGGGATCGTGAAGACAATAGTTACTGCTGGGAGGAGCCTAATTAGGAGATGTTTGTAACATTGTCACTGCAACTTAGCTTCATCTTCTTTTTGTACGTTTCATTTTACAGCTTTCCTTAGAGCGTCCCTTTTTATATAATCTAGTTTAATTAGAGCATTACAAGGGAGCTGAGTAAAATACCGAATTCTGCACTTTACAAATAAATCTAAGCAAAAACAAAAGCGAAGCCTCAACTTCCAATTAAGAATAAATGCACTTTTTTACGTAATGCAGAATTAAATGTTACACTGGCAGAAAACGTGTGGCAACTGTTTAAAATCGTGAGTCATGTAGCATAATTCTGAATTAACAAAAGTGCCCCGTGATCGCTGACGGATATGCATTGTGTGTGCTCGAAAGAAACCGTCACGTAACTTTTCAATGTTACGTCTTATTTAACCAAACATATTCTGTGCACGCATTAACCACTTAAATCCCAGTGGTAACTATATGTACCACCTGCTTTAACAATCAGTAATCCTGCAGTTAACCCACAGTACCATTTATGATTTTCATGTGATTCTCACTATAAGCGGGAATTATTTCGTTAAACAGCGTTAACCAGTTGATCTTTGTAATAGTGAAATGTTGTGTTTTCTTTGCGGTACGGACTGAATTCTTAAAATGTATCTAGTTTAGCTTCAGGTTTTAAAGGGTTAAGACATCTTCAAGGAGCTCCTTTTATAAGGCAAAGTTCTGATTTTAGCGTTATGAACTGGAAGTCCTTGAATATTTCTAAAAAAAAGACTCGTGCTAATTTAAATAAAATATTGTTGTAATTTACGATTTCTTACACGGGCCTGTATGTCAATGATCTAATTAATTCAAAAGTTATGTAAAACATAAAATTACACAACTGAATACAAATATTTTTCAAATATATGCCATCTGTATTGGATATCATTTATTTATTATTTCAGACCACTAGGGCCTACGGTCTAAACAGAAAATGAATTTTTGTTGGTGGGAACATTCAAAAATTTTCATGGTTCCCGCATACACTAATGATTCATGATGTAGAAGTAGTGACAGACACGCAGACAGGCAGCGAGATCTCAAACTGGGTACAGACTGTTTCAGAAGTAATCGCTCCGTTCCGACGACCACAATGAGGTCCGTCTGTTTTACAGACATGTTCAGTACGTCACAATGAATCTAGCGGATACGTAGGAGCTTGGGCACCGCTTCCGATGATGCAGATCGTAAAAGGTTATTATCTCTAAATCAGTGAGATTTGTGTATCGATAGTTATCATCTGTGTTGTGACGTGTTGTCCTGTAGTCAATTACAAACGTTTCGGAGGAAAACGTCGCCTCCGTCTTCATGGTTAAATTCTGATAGCAGTACTGAAAATGGAGACGATAGTTTCCTCCTAAATATTGTGTAGGTCACCACACCCTGATTCGATTCTCGTGTAATATTTGTCATATGAAATTTTTATATTTTTCGCTGCTGGAATCATCCTGTATCTCTCTAGCAGCCAACGTTGTAATTACGACACGGGGAAGTACAAGAATAAGAATGAAATTCTTATAAGGAAGGAACTAAAACTTCGATAATCTATAATTTCATTCCACTCCTGGACAAGAAGACTGCCTTAGACAAGTATTCCATTTTATAAGGAGGGGAAAAGTAAAAGGTTTACAATTCTCCTCTGACTTCAGAGTCGTGGTTACATATCGGTAAAATAACTTGGATAAAATGTTCCTATGAAATTCTATACCATGCAGAAATACTTCCCCTTAAATTGGTAATGTACCTTTTAAAATTTTCAAATGATGCGTTAAAGTTCTTAAACAACCTTGTAACTTGTAAAAGTGCATTGAAGGCACAGTCGGTATAGCAGCAGCTGGATGCAGAATACACCACAACGTCTGTACGGTTAATGCTCAGTTCTATTATTAGTACTTATCAACGAACTTAGCGCGCAGAGAAAATCATGGCGTTGATAAGATAAGAATATTATGATTTATCGTCTCCTATAAACAAAATAGGGCTCAAATATTTAGCTGTAAATGCATGTTGTCACTCCATATTGTGAAAAATCTGATATTGCCCCTGAAGGAACATGAGTAGGCTAAACTGTGAACGTTTGAAAAAGATAGGCTGTGGACATTACAAAATATGACTGCTAGAGAATTATTCATAGAACGTGAGATTTCAGGTTCTGACGGCGACGAGTATGAAAATGACAGCCTTCTGGGATCTTGTAAACATTTACCTACAGTTGAAGAGAAATTATATCTGGTGGTACGCGAAGACATCTTAGGGGGTACGTGAAATTTTAAAAAAAAAATATTATTTTATGATAAACACTGAATAATCAGTAATGTAATTAATTTAATTTATTTTAGATGTAGATTATATAATATGTATAACACGAATTATACACCAATAACTTTCGGGGTACAAAATTGAAGAGGAATTATATCTGGGGGTACGCGAACAAAAAAGGTTGAATACCACTGCTCTAGAGGTCCTTGCTGCTTCCATCTTTGGGGCGAATCGCAACGTAATGCTGAGCGTATAGAAATTGTTACTGAAAACTACAAATTTAAGTACCTCTGTTCCTTATTAACGGGTTTTTTGGGGTAAAATTCGGGGCAATTTCGATGCAGTAAGTAGTATATAAAATTTACTCTTAGGAAAGCATTTCGCTGAAATAGACACGTTTAACTAAATTAAAATTAATTTAAAACGCATTAAACTTTTATGTGAAAAGAATATTTGTAAATTTACATAAAGTATACCCTCTTTGTTGTTATAGGACAGCAGAAAAACTGCCAAGTCAGGAAATAATTATCAGCCGAAATTAACATATTTGATACTGAGAGTATTTAAAAGTTTTTTTAAAAAAACTGTATATCTTTAACATATATTTACAGTTAAAAAGAAGTATTTATCCTTCAAAGTATAGGCTTTACTCCAAAACTTGGTAACTTTATTTCTAATTGCATTTTGGAAGTAAAAGAAAAATCCATATCAATTCATATCGATTTCACGGACGCGGAAAAAATCAGTTTCCCTGAGTGTATTCTGTATGAGACATACAATTTTCAATTGATACAAATAATTTGAGACGAAAGTATAAAATATGGCTTCGACAAACTGAATTCCGCTATTTTATTAAAGTAAATTTGAGATCAATCGCTCAAAATTTCTTTACAAAACGAAATTTATAAAACGAGTGTGTCTAGTTCACATGCCTTACGTTCACTGTTGAATCACCACATTTGATCTCAATACGCTGTCCTGCTTAAGCGTCATCATGTTTGACGTTCAAATATCAATGTGTGCCACCAAAGTCGGAAATCGGTGTGTATCAGCTTATCTACCTAACCCCCTCCCCCGCACACACACTGCAACCAGTTATAACTTATAAATATGTCTGAAATATTTCTATAGTAAGACCAATCTGTCCGGATTGTTGTGTAATGCAAGAATGCGTATTTATTTACGCAATATAATTCTTGTCTGAAGGTTTTCGCGTCTGAAATTAAACGCACAACGTCGGCTTTCGGAGATTAACAGCGGCGGTTGCTGAGAATTAACAGTTTCGGCAAACACTGAAGCTGCCATCTTCAGGGTGAGTATGTATTGGTTGGGCGGTTTTGGAAGCGGACTTCTCCTTCGCCATCAAATACAATTTTCTACCAACCGCCTGCCCATATGAGACTAAAAAGCGCCAAACCATTACATTCTCACTCTGAAGAAGGCGGAAAAAATTGCATAATTTTTAACAATATAATGTTCATTCTATGTTAAAATTCGTAATCGTTTCTTCACCATTTTTCTGACCCAAAGTGTTGCGATGATTGTGATTGGCACTGATCTACACGAAAAAAAAAACACTGAATGTGATCGATCACTGAATGAAATGGTTTCTATGGTAACAACCTCCATTTTCGAAGACGTCAAATAAGGAGAGAACCCTACTTTATGGCAGTGAGAAGAAATTAATTATCATTATTCACACAATGTAAATCACATGTTAAGTGTAACGTTCAGACTGCAAACGGACAAATTTTAATCTACTTCAGATGTACGGCGTCCCAACCCATGCATGTCCAATTCTGGATACCGGGAAAACCGAATAAGCAAAACGCGAAAGGGCGTAGATAAAGTAGCCGACCCTGCAGGGGTTACTTGAGCGTGCGGGTTGCCGTCTCGGACCGGCAGGAGAACGGGAAGCCGCCTGCAACACTGCTCCACTCGTGACCCGCCATACGCCGACTTCCAACATCACACATGCTTTGTTTCCACAGAGGCTAACTGTCGATTTCACGGGACGCGACGAAGTAAAAATTGACGTGGCGTCAAAGTATTGAGTCAGCTCCAGAACATTCGACCGCATTACATCATCAGTCAATATAATGATCTCAAGAAATATTACGTCCGCGTAATGACTACTCCTACTTCGCGTTTACCAAGTCACAGTCTCAAATGTTAGTCCAGGAGCCGGTTATCCTAAATAACGTCTTTTAAGTAACTCATCCGGTTCGTTCTAATCAAACTCTGGGGTAATACCTTAAATCATGCCACGACCATTTCCAATTCATTATTGTTTAATCGTCTCATAATCCTTTGCAGTTATAAGTATGAAATGAAAAAAGTACGATGTCACATCTTCCGGTGTATCACTGGAGTTTATTATACGAAACCCCCGTGAAAAAGAACGAACATTTTATCTTATCATTAAAGCAAACGTTTCTGCAGCTAAAAAACCTGACGTCCTCAGAAATAAATCTCCATAACCGACATTCTGAATATAAAAACTAGGAAATATGTGAGAAAGCAGAATTCTTGTAACAAAACAATTACCTTAATCTTCGTGATTTTCCTCGGTCGTTCTACGTCACCACTGGAACTACAGGATACAGACTGTTTTCGTAGAAACAGTTCTTGCTTCATAATTGAAGCCGGGTCACATCATTCTTCGCCAGTGGCATTGGCCTGGAAGCAAAACAGAAACTTCTTTAATTAAATCGATAGGCTAACGTCCTGAAGTAGTCCGATATATAGACATAATTACATCACTAGACGCTTCAAGCCCTGGAAACAAAAGATGAGTGTCCTGTTTATTACTAAATGCCAGTTTTCACTGCAGGCCTACTCTTGCTACATTTTTTTTCAAGAATAAATAGGGCAAATCATAATTTCTGCCTGTGTATTATGTTCCTTTCAGGAAATTAGAACATTTTCCTAAAACGTATTTAATGGGAAAGTGATAAATGTTAATCTATGCTATTCCAAGACCTTCTAAGTTCCAAAAAAATAAGATCCCCCATTTGAAAAACTGCTGGCCTTCGAGGGAAACACGAGATTCAGGATTTTTTTTGTAAAACTGGATGCTGAGGAGAATATTTGTACACATGAAAGAACTGAAATGAAAGTGGAGGAATGTATTAACGAGGGGCTTCGCGAGATTGGTGGGTCGCGTAACACGCACGAGGGGGAAATGATAAACCCATATTACGCGCACAGCCGCACGTACACAATTACACATAAAGATTTTTGTTTCTGTCTGTGATTCCTCAACCTTGCATCCTGCCGTCCTTGCAACTCGTTTCCCAAGGAACGATCACATAAACTGATGGTTTTACACGTGTTATGGCTGCCGATATGCATTGGTGGTCATTCCAACGTCGCTCCGTCAACAACAGAAAGTTAGTGATTTACCATTTACTCTTCCAATATACGTCGGTGTTTCTAAAACAGGTCTCCGACGTAAATCTGAGATCACACGTACATTGCAAACAAGCGTACACTTCAGCATTCTTTTAAGATTTGAGGTCTTCACGAAGGTGGGAATGATGATGTTTTTCTGGGTTTCGATACCGTCAGTAGGTACCAACCATCCGGAGCAACAATTTCCCCAGCCTTATCCCTGAAGATTCTTCTCCGAAACGGTGGTACCTACCGATGAACCTGCATCGCGCCTAAACCCAGAACAAACATCATTCTTGTTCACTTGATTGACCTTTCAGGTGGAACTGCTTAGAAGAAGGTATCTTAGTTTTTGTTTGTTTTTCCCTCCAGAATTTCTTATAAACTGCATGTTAGTTGCCGTCTTTGTACTGAGCAAAGTTGATGTTAGTTGCCGTCTTTGTACTGAGCAGATACAAAGCAAAGTTCTCTCATTGCTACATGTAAGTGACAAAAAGATATAAAGCAAACAGTTTTTCTCGCCCTGCACAGTCATCAACAGTTTAATGAATGGAAAGAGATCAATGTTTTCGAGACGAATATTTTTTTACGACTCGGTCACACGTAGTGATCTCACGTTTGTCTGCACATGAGCCAGCAGACAGGGCAGACCATCCATAGCGGTTGGTCAGTTACCGTGGAGGGTACAATTGCAAGACGTTCAGTCAGACACACGTTTTATTTCCATCTGCACTAAAATTTAACAAGAGGTTTATTCCCCTGTGGTTCCCAACCAATATTTTATACGTCTTTCTTGTTTCAAAATTCATACATACATGGCAACTGAAGTTAATTATTTTAATTTTTCAAATAACGCTGAGCGAATATTACGTAAACGAGTATATGATTCGTCGGTTATTAAAAGACGTTACTTCAACTACTCAGGTTATGATGCATCGAATGGGACCATGATCTGGTCTCAGACTAGCTTTCTGTCCTCCCCCCCTCTGCCGTTTTACCTGAAGAAGGAGGCAGAATCCAGATTCCGAAACGTTGTAGTTTTATAATGTTATAATTTCTGCGACGGACTAAGTCCGAAAGAACAGTTTTACCTACAAAACGTCGTTATTTAACGACGGGTAGTATTCCTACTGTTGACAAATAATGAATAACTTCATTCGTACTATCGAATGTACGCGAAGGCAAGAGACAACGAAAAACAAAGGACAGGTGTCGAGTTCTTTGTTAAACAACATGTTCATTTTCTCCTTCTCTTGTAACTTTCTTTCTCTCAGTCTCATACGTACTACATTTGTAGGAGACAATGTTTTACTCTGTACCTTAGTGTTTAAATTTAAAGCATATTTGGGTTTTATTCGACATTATTTGCCAAAAGAAGTAATTTTAATTTCGTTATGGGAGTCGTAGTACACACACATCAAAATTAGGATATTTATTTTAACCGAAGAAACGATTTCGGCGTCAGTAATTACAGCAGACCAATGTGGCCTTGAATGATCAAGAAACCCCATGACGCCTGTCGCCCAAGAGCCTGCAAAGCCACAGTTAGATTAGGTTAGGTTAGGTTAGGTTCACAATTTAATGTTATGATCTTCTGCGGACATACAGTACACTCAGGACAAAATTCTGTAAATATTTCGGTAACACATCTCGGGCCAAATCACATTTTTAAAAACATTTTGCAATAAAAATCTTTTTACAACGTTTCAGACTTGGATCCATGAACGTCTTGTATATACAGTAGACTTACTGCAGCAAAGACCTTTATGATAAATGTAAAACGTCCCCTGTGCTTAAGCAACACTCCGTACCAACATATGGGCAAAGCAGGTGAAGTACAGCACTAAACAGAAGTGAGTAATCAGCTTCGTGATCCGGCCGTTTTAATCCCAGTACCCATTGAACAAGTGGATGGATAGGAGTCAGGGCTGGTCTTGAGCGTTCACTGACCACTACTTATATTGACATAACCGTGTTCACTCTTCTGCATATACACCGGCTGGTGCAGAAATGAAACAATATTAAAAATGAATGGTTCAACGGAGTTCAATGAAACTAACACAAATTTCAAAAACATATATAAGTTTGTGAACAAAGACATTTGTTCAGTTCGGTTGATTTCTTGCACCTAAAAATACACATTCCATTTTGGAATTTTAAAAATAGATACTTTGTTTATAAATTAATAAAATTTGATGTCGAAATCAATGCTGAATGGGACCCCTTTTTATTACTGTACGAAATGTCTTTTCAATTTGTGTCTGATCGCATGTTACCTAATAAACGAGGGGGCACACATTTGCTTGTTGCAGTAGGTCTGAAACAGTTGTTATTCCTTATAGAAGCTTTTCAAATACATTCTCTTGTATCTCAAGATAACATCCATTCAGCCACCGACCAGTGGAAAAGACGGGCTCCAGCCGTAATCCAAGAAAATGGAAGTTCTTCTTAACACCCGATCCAATAAGCAGTGCGATCCGATTATAAATAAAATTCTTGTTTTATAAATTCAAAACGAAGAAATTTTTCCAACCGAACTGAATAAATCTTTTTGTACGCAAACTTAGTTATGTTTTCTGATGATGGAGGCAGCAAGGACCTCTAAAACTTCTACCAGACTCCGCGGTATAACAACCCAGATGACAACCATCTTCAGACTTGCCGCCGTGAGACCCCTAAATTCTACACACATCCTATATGAGTCTTAATCAAATACATTGAGCCGTCCATTTTTACCTTCGGTTTAAAAAAATCACTTATTTTGCGCCACAAAACACACACATACATATATGCACAATAAATTAGGCAACGACAGTTTCCTTCCAAATCCTTATCGATATTTATATAATCACCCTCCCTTCTGGTGCTATAGACGTAACATCTATCGATGTATGGAGATGGCAGGCTCAGTGGAACTAAACAAAACTCTACTTCCCACAAAAGCAAGTTAAATCCCACATACAGACAGACCTGAACGACGCCAAAGAACATACCTGGATAGACCCTCACATACAACAAGGAACGTGGAACAAAGACTCACGCGTGTACAGAAATACATAACAGGTAGCATAATGACAAGTCAACCCCCTCTACAGGGGGTGTACTGGAGGGTTGAGGGGGTTGGAATGTGTGTATCCATTCCAAGACACAGCAGTCTCTGCTTGTACAGGTTTGGGAAGCAAAGGTCCTTCTTGTGTGTTGATGTACGAACTGCAACTTAGTACGTATACCTACACTTCATATTATTAAACAGGGCAGAATTTCTAATGCTGCACTACTTACAATTTTAATAAGTACTTAAAACTGTTTCTTTAAGATTCTGTCTTATTTCACAGTTTATTAAATGTACTGCTGCACAGCGCTTAGAAATAGGGAAAGGAATTATATACGTATTCATTTTAATATTATCATCATGTACAATCGCAGTACTATACTAGATAATGTAGTGCGTCTTATATTTTTTTGAAGCCAAATTACATAATTTGCATGCTCGAGGAAACAACAGATTACAGAGTTTCTTCTTCGAAATTCACGAATAATGGCATTTTTCTAACGGTGCATTCTTTTAAGCTGGTATCGGTTCGTTGTGATATATGTCTTATCGAGGTTTTTATCATGCTCGTTGCTGAAATATTACTATTATTATTGTTAAAATCTGAATGTTGGCAGTGATATTTTCTTCCCAGGTGTAATGAATGTTTTCATTATCTTGTTTGTGAAAACAAGATGTGTATCAGGAAGGCGATGCAAGATGTCGAATTAATTTAGTATGAGAGCAAAATTCTAGCTGTTGCCACCAGCAAAAGTTAATCTGGCCCTATGGGAATATTCACATGTGCTGTACGTATTAGAAACATACGTGCATTCCACAGTAAAAGCTATATTAAACAAATCTGCCTTTACCTGAAATTTTCTCCACTCCATAACAGAGCGGAAACCAATGTATACGTATATTTAAAACCATGAAAATACTTTACACGCGCTTAAAAACAATAATTTAACGGAGAAAATTTGCTTTGGTGCATAGACCTATTTCTCTCCTCATTGAATCAGTTCTGCGTTTCTTGGAATTTAACTGAGAGGGAACAAATCGGTCATAAAAGAAAAGGAATCGTCCCAATAGTCGACGAGATTCGTGCAGAATACTTTAACGGACCCCCGAAGGGAAGTTATCGTACTGTGTAGTACATACCCAGCGCGAATTTTTGACGTGAGATTTGGATCTTAAGTACATGGAGAATTCAGTGCGCACGTTTTTATCCACAGGAAATAACTTATGTTGGAGAAACTGTCTGAATTGGAAATAAAATTATGTTCAAACCCCACGCAGAATTTCCCACTTCTGTAGTAGACGTAAATATTAACATTTGGACCTTCCATCAGTATTAATCAAAAGATTCAAATCTGGTCAAAATCAGACCAACCGTTCCCAAATTAGGAGCGGACACAATGGCTGACAAGTAGGCAAACTTTTTTATTTAGAATTTCGTCACAAACTCGTCACCATCATTTACGAGCGTTCGTTTCATTATCGACGCTAACAGCGATCAACATCCACTATTTATATTTACTCTGACTAATAACGGGAAGCGAGTGGCAATTGTTTTGTTTTCACTAAACAAACAGAACAGTTGGCTGAGCGTCGTCACTTATTTCCAGATTATCCATATTCCAATTACACATTGTTCTTTTTTTTTGACAAGATTGAATCCGCTTTTATTCACTTCATTTCAAACTTTCCAGAGATTCATCACCGTTATAACAAAAGCCTGCCACGACGTGACCGATTAGCACTGCTGCTTCGTATTTGGGAGGTCCTGGAGATAAGCTTAGATAAAAATGAGGACGAAAAAGGCAACAGACTAACGCAGTTAACTGGCTACACCTTCAAGCAGGCGTGCAAAGTTATTTCCTTAAAAAAGGCATTCTACTTCAGTAACTTCAGCTCACATACCTGGACCTTGAGGTGGAGGGGGTGAGTGGGAACAGGTACATCCTTCAGCGTGAAAGGAGAGGGGGGGGCGGGGTGAGAGCCATGTGAGCAAGTCGGCGGCATATCCAAACCCTGCGGTCCACCAGGCCCCTTCCCAGTCCCTTGCCACTTCTGAACACGGTTATTGATCAGTCCTCTGGGCACAGGAATGGCGAGATATGTCGTTTACCTCTCTCATCACGCGAGAAACAATTTGCTGTTTGCTACAAATCTGAGACACAATTGCAAACTTTCATTTTGCACACACACACACTCTCGCTCAAGTCCTTGAGTTGCAACCCCCTCCCTCCCTCCACACCGCCGCATGCATGTATACATTTATCCGAATCCCTGTGTTTTCCGTCCTCACTTTCTCGGCTCTCCGCGATCAAGGGGAGAGAACATCGCGGCGTGCGGTGGCGGTAGGTTGCAGTGGAGCTACGGGTTATGTTGTGATGTGTTCCAATTTCAAATGTATCGTGGCCTCAGTGATTTCCTACAATTTATCTGTGATATCGTTCAAGCAATTCACTTGCCAGGTAAGCGCCATCATGGTGGTCGTGTGTTGTGAAACAAAAGAAAAAGAAAAAGCGCATGATTGTGACAGCTTCTTTGTCATTCCTTTTTTTTCGGCACAGGGATTTGGAAATCCCATTTATGTCTATTGTTTACTTAAATACACTTGGTTTTTCCTCCGACTCAGCGCAAGCGTTCTTGAGAGCTCCGAAGCTTTGTCTAATCGGATTCATTAACGAAGGATCCGGGAATTATGCGTTCATTGCTGGCTGCCATATTTTTGAAGAGAAGGCGTCTTTTGTGCGAGGTAAAATTCAAGACATATCATGTGTGTTGTTAAGACGGAACAATGTCAAGAAAGTGCGCATTGTTGACATATCGACAGTGACGTATTAAATAAAAACACATAATTAGTGTCTTAGCGCGGTGTGAAGTGATTCGGAATAAGACGTTGCCAAATATACCTGCGAGTGATGTTAAATACAAACATGGCCAGAAGTTACTACACGAGATCCAAGCCCGCAACGGTCATAGGATGGCGAGGGGTGAATCGTCTTTAATTTTTTCGGTTTTTGTAAGCAACTGGATTAGAAATTTCTGACGTAAACAATCAATTTTTATTTCGTAATTCTTTGAAAGTTAGTTGAGACCTTCAAAATTAGTTGACACATGGTGATTTATTTGGTATTTGACGCAAATATCCGAATGTGACGATAGTGTATGTGTGTGTGATGCGTAAGTGACCGGATGTGTTACAGATCGCAAACATTGTTATCTATTTTTCTTTTCTTTTCTTATGCATGCCCCACCCTTATCGCAGTGCTAATTGTTAACATCTGATGTATTCCTATATACATCATTGTTTGAATTTTGGACACATTGAAATACGACATTCAAGTGTTTTCAAATCGAAATATTCGAGTTTCGTACGAGGCAAACTGAACGATTTAAAATCCCTCACATGGTGTCGTAGACTGAGCTTTAATTCATAAATAACGGATTTCTCTTCGTTTGACCGGCATTAAGAAACTTTTCTACAATTGTTATTTAATGCATGCTGCCGGTAGAGACGATTTCTGTTTTTATTACTGCAATAAAACTCTAATAATGTTGTATGCAGATGTGCTCTTACAAGTGACGAGAAACGAACCGGTAATTACAAATCGAGGTACATTTCTGAAGACATGGAAGAATTTCGTACGGTTTCAAAACATCGTTTTTATTCAAATTTCCTTCAGCTGAAGTAGTGTGTTTTCAGAACCTATGAAATGATGTACTGGACGTAAGTAGTTAATTCCTCCCCCCATTTAAAATACGTATCTTTTATTTCAGGTGAGGTAACACATCATAACAAATTATGAAGCAGAAGTCTGTGGGCAGAGAAGGATAATTTATGGGGCAAAAGAAGGTAAAGTGAAACGTGTTATGGACTGTATTAATTTGTATATTTGTTAACATTGACAGTGTCCTGAGTATTGTGATCTATATAGTGGACCAGAGACATACAAATATTAAATAAACATTTAAAATAATGTGTTTTTACTATTACTCTAAAAACAAATTAATTACATTCAGTTGCAGTAAAATTTACGTAACTGCCATGGATTTTAGAATTATGCTGTGAAAGAAACTTGAATTTAAATGTCTTAGCGGTTTCAAATTATTTTTTTTAATGGCTGTATTTTAGAAAATTACAGCTTATATTATATGTAATCATTTAAAATATAAGAATTTATTTTATCTTGTCATAAAGTTTAAAATATTCCAGACATAATATTACGAAAATAATTTGAGTTGTACAATAAATGTTTCATTCTTATTGCTAGAAAGATTGATTTAAATTTTAAAGAAAACACCTGGTACTTTGAATTCCAAATTTTTGCAGCTATTTTAGGAATCTTTGTAGTGTCTCTAAAATATTAGTGGTTATAATTTTCAGTAATACTTAGGAAATTATTGTAAAACAAACCTACTGTAATATTCATGTTTTTTGTATGTCTCAAAACAGTATTCAAGTTATAATATATAACTAGTTAATAATTCAACATGCAACAGTTTTTATAATGCGACTCAAAATTAAATCCCATATACATTCTTAACATTACTTAATTGTAAGCTTCTTTTATGTTTTTAAAACTTAAAAAAAAACAAGTAATACGTAGTGATTTGTCTGATAAGCCACAGCTTAAAAAAAAACAAGTAATACGTAGTGGTTTGTGTGATAAACCACAACAAGAACACTTGTGTTATGACAGCTTCTGCTCTCTAGGAACTACTATCAGAACTAACAAATGGAGGAAAACAAATTATGTTTTTTCTATTAAATGCATTATCATAGACAGAACATTTCTAATCATAAATAAATTTTGAGATGTTGTTTGTCATTATAGTTAGTTTTTCATACAAAACATATATGGCATATAATACAAGTAAATATCAATTTAAATAAACAGACAGTGCCAGAAATTAATTAATTTTTAGATACCGCCAAATAGAAGGACAAGTCGGGGGGAAGGAGAGGATATGTCAGGGCACGTGGCATGAATTGGAACGATGAGAAGTGCATACAGGAGTAGAAAGAGACTAATTGGTAAACCTAAGTATAAATGGGAGGCATGTGCCTCCATGAAGTTAGTTAACAGACCTAGAGTAAAATTAACGCGGCTGTGTTGCAGGCTGGTGGGCACCAGAGTTGAGCGGCCATGGCGACTCCACATTACAGCCTGCGATGGAACAATCATCAGAACCATATCCTAAATGCATTTGATACGCTGCTACAGAGCGAGACTTTGGTGGATGTCACACTAGTGTGCGAGGAGACCAGCGTGCGAGCGCACAAAGTCGTCCTGTCTGCCTGCAGGTCCGTTACACCATCACCTTTTACTTAGTTGGAAACTGTGTTATCACAAATTCTGTTAAATACATCTTCTCCCCATTATGAAATCGCTTTATATAATTTGTGCATAAAAATCAGTACAAACCGCGTCAAAAAATTTAATTTACTCTTTTAATTGGATAAAATTTTTAATATTTAAGTATGAGGTTACTTTATATCTTTATGTAAAACACTGTGTCTCCTTTTCAGTCCTTACTTCCAGAGGATATTTTCAGAAAACCCTTGCAAGCATCCAGTCATTGTTTTAAAAGACCTCAGGGGTTGGGAAGTACAAGCAATTGTGGATTTTATGTACAAAGGAGAAATCAGTGTGGTACAAGAGCAACTTTCATCTCTAATAAAGGCTGCTGAATCCTTACAGGTAAGATACATCCATTCATACTGCGAAGGAAGGAGTAAGCTGATGTCGGTACGAGGGTTCAGCCGTAATACCTCAGTTTCTTGGTTACAGGTGAGAGGCCTAGCACATACTGAACAACAAATCCTGCCAGAAAAGGAACACCACCAGCAGCAGCATCAACATCCGCAGCAGCTGCACTCCACATCCCATTCTGCAGGATTCTCTCCACCGCCACCATTATCGAGCCTCGAGAAACTGGGTCTGTATGGAGCCCCGACTCCCACTGCACGCAACTTCTCTTCATCTGATCTAACAGTGGGGCTGGGAGCAGGATTGCCTATGTTGTCTCCTTTCTCGCCGTCCTCTATACCAAACTACGAGCCGCCTCTCAAACTCCCGACGCTTCCCCACATGCCACATATCTCCTTCAGCGACAACCCGCCGCCTCCGAACGACCACCGCACCTCGCCTCAGCCTCGAAGGAAACAGGCGCGACCCCGTCGACGATCGGGCGACCAGTGTGGGGCGCAGGATCTGACTAAGCCTCCGACATCGCCGGTGACGGAAACAGCAGAGAACTTGTCCATGAAGAAACCGGCACATCAACATCAACAACCATACAACAATAGCAGCAGTAACAATAGCAACAATAGTAATAACAATGTTAGCAGCAACGGAAATATCACGCCTGCCCCAACGCTTCCTCCTGCCCCTCCAGGAACGCCAGTTACATCACCTCATTCACTGGTAAGAAGACTTTCAGTAGTAGTCTATAGTACAAGCCAAAATGACGAGAATAACATCCGCGTTATACGTGGAACTTAAAGAAATATTTCCTAAATACATAAAGTGACACTGATGTTATGTTTTTGGGACCTGCTTCAGCCACCTCCACCGCTAAAATCTGAAAACGAAGAATCTCAGCTGCCGGAGAATGCGCACATTGATGTGCACACGCCAGACAGGGACCGAGAAAGGGAGCGAGCGGAGTTCTGTAACAGTACAGAATCTTTAAGCCTGCCTCCGCCACCAATGGTAAGATACACAGTATTGAAACCCTTTTCCAGAGAGGATTTTCTGAATTTTGGTTCTTCGTCAATAACTTTTCTCTCTGTTTTACGCTAAGCGACAATCCTCAAAACTCATTGTGGGACTTACGGACATTTTACAGGTTAAAACTAGTGAGTACTAAACAGTAACTGAAATGTCAAAGCCTACAATATTTCCTAAGCAGTGAAAGTTCTGAATAAAATGTTTTTTATGGTCCAAATGTAAAAAAATATGCCTTGTATCGAACGATACGAAGATATTGTAAGTTTTAGGAGTTGGAAGATGTGACGGACGCTTCCGAAGAATTTTTTGCGTAGGAAACTCACAGGAGTGTGACAGATTAAAATGAGTGATGAAGACAAAAAAAAATTGTATAAAATCACAAAATGGTGGCAATACTGGTGAGCGTCAGAGGTCTGTGAGGAAGAACAGTGTGATTTTTTAATTAATCATTCTTTAAGAAAATGCCCACCAATTTTTCTCACTATATTAACTCCCCTTAAAAATGTGATCACTTTTATAGCAAAATTTGTGTTTTTTAAGATCTGAATATTTGTATTTCCTTCATTCGCATCAAAACGTTGACTCTGAATTGAATGTGTTTGCTTGCAGGACCCAACGCTCGAAAATACTGGCTACCCGCAACTCCCGTCTGTATCAGCTCTTACTATGACACCTCCTCACAGTAAGTCCCTTTCGCACTCAGTGTCCAATTATTTCATGTGTACTCAGAATATATTTTAAACTTATTTTTTTGTTTTCTATTTGCCTGCGTGACTGTGATTTGTGATTCTGTCTACGGTGGTGATGTTGACAAAATTTTAAATGTACCAAACTCTGGTGTTTCAAGCGCTAGATGCATGAGGCAGAGGAGCTAATATATTTTTTTTCTTGTTTCAGTTTTTTCGCTAGATGCTCAGCTTGGTTTTTTCCCCAGCATGGAGAGCTGTCGTAACCCTCTTCTGAATGACATTCCAGAACCCAGGAATGAAAATCACCACATAATTGGGAAGCGAAAAAGTAAGAATGAACTCATAGTTAAGTCTTCTTTTATTCTTCTTCCGTTTCTTGACCGTTACTTCGGTCTTCCGGTGCCTAATATTTTCTTCCATTCTTCTCTATTTTCCCATCCTTCTGGAGGTAGTTTCCACTCTATCATGGTTCTTATAATTCTGTCGTTCCATCCTGGTCTCGGTCTCCCTTTCTTCCTTCTCTCTTTTGGTTGAGGATGGATCGAGATATAATTGAGGAGATAGCGAAAGACAACTAATGGTCTTCTTTTCTGGAACCCTATTAGTGAACTGCGCTATCTGTCACTGTATTCCCGGTTTAAAATTCAGAAATTTGACGTAGGCACTATTTGCCAAATTTTGGAGAAACTCGGTATAAACAGCGTGCGATTAGATGATATCCTATCTTTCTGTGTTAAATATGTCTTTAATGATCATATTAAAACTGTCCATATGAGCAGTATTAATACATTTCAAAATCCACATTTCTGCACAAAATACATATGAAAATTCTGGCAGATAACAAAAATTTCCTTAAAAATTCTTTTTTTTTACAAGCATAACAGGGACCTTTTTTAAGCACACTGGTTATGTAAAATAAAATGGAAAGATGATTGTGAATGATGAATGGGGCAGATGTGAACAGACATGATCACTGCATATTTTAAGTTACTGTCTCAGCATTTTCCTGAATGGACTGAGGAAAACCGCAACAAAAGTCAGTTTAGCTGGTCTCTACGCTAAGATTTGAACCTGGGACCTCCTGAATATGATGAAGGAGTCCTAAGTACGAGACCATGTCATTCATTGTTTACCTTTTATACTCATATTCCAGAATCGCATAAATTTGATCAAATTTATTTGGCAAGTAAAGTTGAACTGAATATTATGTGGGCTAAACAATCTTTAACTCAAAAATTTGATTCTGAATAAAAGGAACAAACTAATACCAGTTATAGAATTTTATCGGTTGTTTCACTTCCGACTTAAGCCCCTGCCGTGCTGCGTTAAGTTCTAGCATATTTTAATAAGTAGATCCAATCAAAAATGAAAAAAAAAATTCAGCAGCTCAATCAGATGCTGTGTCTGAAGCATCAGCCTTGCTCACAGGGAAGATGGCTGTGGTTTCAGTGGGTCGACCAAAAGGGCAGCACAGTGCCCCACGAGGAGGTCCACCAAGGTCATGGACCAACGCTGAACTAACAGAGGCACTGCAGCAAGTGTGGAACAAAAAGATGACAACATCGCAGGCATCCCGCATATTTGGCATTCCATACAACAGTTTACTCATGTACGTGCGTGGCAAATACGGCAAATCGCTCAAGTTGGAGCAGCTCAAGAAGGACTGCCTCGGAGGTCCCGGGGGTCCGCTCGAGTTGCTGGGACTGGGGCCCATGGGGCCGGTACCAGGGAACAACAATAACAACAACAACAATGCCAGCAGCAAGTCTGGTGCAGGTGATGAACTGTTAGTTCCACCGGGCTCAGAACATGACTTGGTCTCGGTAGGTCAGGGTGGTTTCAATCCGTACTCGCCTGCCAACTTCTATCCTGACTTTGGTGCCTCGTTCCCAGTCCCTGTCAGCATGATCCACCTGTTACCCCAGTCCGAAAAGAACCGCGAGTTGTTTCCGCCTTCCATGCATCTCCCACTTGAAGTGTCCGCTTCTGGTAAAGATGACAGCGGTGGAGGAAGACGATCACGTGAGAACAATGGTTCATTGGAAGAGGAGCATGATGCAGTGCAGCCACAACAACAACAACAACAACCGCCCAAAGAGGACACCACTACACAGCAACTTGTTGAACAGAATGGACAAAACTAGCAGATGGTAAAATTAATAAAAATATCTAGTAGGACAAGATTTAAAAAATCTCGAAACAGAACCCTTATCGTTTAGTGAACTGTGGCATTGTTGTTTACCAGAGTATCAGCCATTTTGTGTGTGATGAGGAGTCTACTGAAACTCCTAATGGACAGTAAATTTTATAAGAAAATCTTCAACATAGATTACATTTTTATACAGTGATATATATTATTTGTATACATAATGCAGTGAGCATTTACCTCAGAATTTTTCTAACTAGTACTTACAGATATTTGTAATGGTTTACTTTATCAACGGTTTGTTACAAAATGTAAGATGGAGAAACGAGACCATCTCAAATTATGTTGACAAAATGGAGGTTCTCTGGAAACATCAAAATTGTGCTCTCTTGCCAGATCTAAATGAAACTGTATGTGATTGTTAAAGTATGGGTGCTGGTAGAACAAGGATAGTCTATGAGGGAAGTCCCCCCGCCCCCCCTCCCCCATGGTAAGAGTTGTGATGTAACTGAGATAAATTCGTTGAGGGCCGCTGAGAGGTCTTTTGTTGATATTATTGCATCGTGCTTCCTGTGTTCACAGCCAGAAATGGACGGATACTCATTACTTGTCCACAAATTTTGTAGTATCCACATTATTGTTTCTTGTACATGGTTGTTCATCGTTTACTTTACAAGACTGACTTCAAATGCCAATGTTCCACATATTTATATTTAATTATAATTAATACATCCTAATTAAGTTAACTTCTTAACCAACACCAACAGTTCCTTCAGAGATTTATACCAAATAATGCATAATTTTAAGTTTGAAGATAAATAATAAAAGATGAATTTTTATAACCAACAGAGTATTATATCCACGGTTCAGAGATAAGACGATAGAAAATACATTTTTTATATTAATTTTTTCGAACTGATTATTGAAACAAAGTCTGTTACATGAAGTTTGAAGGCACATAAGGACAAATGTGTGCCAAATGTGATTTTTTTGGAACAAATCGTGCATGAAAGGGAACCAACGTAAAGATTAGCAAAGTACGATTCGTTGTAACAAATAACCGTAGTTGTGATATGAACACATGTAAGAAGAATGATATGTGCATTGTATCGTGATGTTAAGTGTACATGTTGTCGGTTGTTATTCAGTTGAGACAGCGCAATTTGATGTTAAAATGTACCATGTGGTCCTTCCTCTTATTATGCAAGATACTGGTAAAACCATGCAAAAGGTATGCAGTTATGGCAGATTTAGAGGGCCCAAGATGTTTCAATTTGCACTGTGCAATTTGCCTCAAAGATAAAAATTTTGTGACTGGTAAAGTTACAATGCAACTTGATGCACTTCACTCTCATACGGATCTAAATTTGGCATGGCCGTTCTGAAATGAATGTGAAATCGGTTAACATTTGTAAGAATATATTCTGGAGAACTCACACCCCCACTGATGCAAATCTCTAGGAGTTCTAGTGTGTAGAAAAACACATATGTTAAAACTACGTGCACACATGTACACAGACACTTGCAAATCATTTTACTACCTTGATCCGTAATGTATATTTGTTTTTTGGTGTTCCGTGTCGCAAAATTAATGACAAAATTAATTGTCCTAGAGAATAGTTTTAGGATTTTTGTTTTCTGTGACAAGAAAACATGGCCATCGTTACCGATTGCTCTAGACATTGCTTTCTAATGCCTGCCTCTAATCTGCTGACTAGTTCTTAAACACATCTTGAAAATCATAAATGAAAAATTGTTTGAAACAGGAAAATTATGTAAGACGGTTCTAAAACCGGTATGAAAGTCATTACCGTATAGTTATCACAGGAGCAGATTTAATCAGTATCTGTATTTTTTAATAGTATTTTTGTATTTGTTCCTAACAATAAATTTTAAAGAAGGAAACAAATAGCAGATAAATCCTACAGATATCTTTACTGTTAGCAGTGATTCAGGGAACTGGCAAATACACACACACACACACACACGCATGTAATAGGAGTCCCACGTTCGGACACGAGAGGAAAACTGTTCTGCAAACTCTTTGGAGCCAGCTCCTATTTTACAAATTATACTAGCATTTTGATTGAGCAGATAGGTGCATAATTAAATAATGTGGTAATGTAATTAATATTTCATTCTTTGTTTATAAGTTCCTATGAACATACTAGGGCTGTTCACTAACTAAATTCTGAGGATGTGCTGCATTATTATTTATTACTTCGACATAGATGTTCAAAATAACAAGGGTAATGAACAAACCCTGGCTTTGTTCTGTAATCGCAAGAGCAACTGATACACCGCCTGTTAAGACTCACTTGGAGACGAAACCAGTGCGCCTTAATTTTTACTACATCATGACGTTAGATTTGGTGAGGTGGAGATCAGTAGGCACAAGCTTCAGGTTGTGTGGTGGATGGACAGGACATTTCCAGCAAAACTGCTTCCATAGGCATGTGTCAGTGGCACGCAGTCTGCCTTTCGCCATTGCCCTGTGGTCCATGAACTCAAGAAGAATGCCATGGGTGTCAGGACCACATTGACTCCGTACTACAAGGTCTTAAAGTTACTTTCTGTGGGGAATTGGAATGTTTCAACCCCATAAATGCACCATTCAGTGTGGCAGTAAAGAACTATGAGAATAGAGGAAGGGGTTTTTGTCGACTTTCTGAATACACGCAGTATTCTTCTCCTTTATTTCGTGGACCATGGGGCAACAGTGAATTGAGACTACTAATGCACAGCACTGGCACCTGAAGGGAGCCATCCAGATGAAATGCCATGGCTTATTCAAACAATAAGTGATCCTTCTCCATGGTTATGCCCACACAGCGAGAGTCACAATGCTACTCCTGCAGATGCTTTGTCCATCCAACATTCAGAATGAACCTCACACCTTGTGACTTCCACCTCATCAGATCATTGAACTTTGAAGGAAAACATTTTTGACGTGATGATAAGGTGATTTCTTCTCTCTCTTTTTTCTGTGGGAATCAAATAAGTGGTGTATCACAGGGACAGATGTCTCTGTTGCTCTAGCAATTACACGAAGAAATAAATGAAATGCCCGTTATTCGTAGTTTGACTGGAAGCCCTTTTAGAGATAACAGATGCGAGTGTAGAATACCCCAAAATTTACTTGTTGAACACCCTACTATGAACAAAAATTATGTTGTGTTAACATTTGCATATATAATAATCCTTTTCTTTAGCTTTGTCCCTTAAACATGATAAGACCACTGTGCGTCTTTCAAATTGCTTGGACTTTCAGTACTACTATCCTAACACAGAAACAATGAATTAAAATTACATGATTCTGCAAATGTTAAGTAGATTCTTCTAGTTACTTTATTCTGCGAAAAATTCCTATCATATGTCTGACTAAAGAGTTATTTGTTGTTAATGTGTTTTTTATTTAAATAGTATGCTGGTATATTACGTATATCTAAAATTATATAGGTTGTAAAATACATTATAATTTGAAATAACAAAGGAAGAGTATCACAACCCCCACAATTTTAAAGCTTAAAGGTTAAACTTGAAAAACACTGCTGAAAAATTTTTTTTTATCAAATATTTCGGTTCTCTCACATCACTTTTATGCAGCATGACGTGAAATTGTTCCACTGCTTACTGGATATTTTAGACGAAAAACAGAGAATCAAATATTCTGCACAGCCAGAAGTATAAGCAGGTGTAGAATAATATTAATAGACTTCAGAATGACGTAGGTCAGATTTTTTTGTTGTGATCCCTTCCGAGATATAAAAAGTTAAACTTGAAAAACACTGCTGAAATTTTTTTTTATCAAATATTTTGGTTCTCTCACATCACTTTTATACAGCATGACGTGAAATTGTTCCACTGCTTACTGGATATTTTAGACGAAAAACAGAGAATCAAATATTCTGCACAGCCAGAAGTATAAGCAGGTGTAGAATAATATTAATAGACTTCAGAATGACGTAGGTCAGATTTTCTGTTGTGATCCCTTCCGAGATATAATTTTTTTTTTTCCAATATTGAAACCTCGTGATATAATTTATAAAAAAGATTTTTACAACTGTCCTTACACAAGTTGTTTGTTATACTCATATGTTTATTTCTACAATTGTGAAGTTAACAAAGTGAGTGTGAGTGATTTGCACCCAGAGATCTTAGCCATTTGCAATATGAAGCTCTTTATAACATTGCTACTTTATGTGATAGATTGATACACTGATGGGATAGGTTCATGTAACACCAGTGTCCATAAAGACTGAATGCCATCGAAGTAGGTGCAATAAATACTTACAAAGTTGCGCACATGTACATACATGCAAATGCTAATGGAGTGATATATCAACAACTTTGTATGCTTTTATGTGAACGGACTTTCAGTTTGTTGATATAAGACGTTCATTGGTCTGGCGAGGGGTTAAAGTATGAAAAATGGGTACACTGCTTAATAGCTTAATATATTATCTGTCCTGGAAAGTTCAGGGTTGAATATTTAAACAATAATTAATAACAATATAATTCAGGACAATGATGCTCGTATTTTCATACCATAAAGAAGTTTTTGTCTTCTGTTAAGGCACTTGTAAATACATAATCTAGATCTTTTACAAAAACAGATGAAAGAAGTGCTGTACAAATCATTGTACTGTAGTTGGTTAAGTGTTTCTGTTACATTTGATTTGATTTTTTGTTTTGCTTTGGCTAAAATTAGGGTTGGTGATGATGTTTGATGTATAAAATATGTTTAAAAAATAGGTATGTGATCAAATTTGGTGTTACAAAAAGAACAAAAAACAAATGTGTACCGTGAATCATGCCCCAACTACTACTGTTAATGGACTTTTTTGGAAAAGCAGCTGTTAACGTATATGCACGACTCTCCGTACATCCTCATAACAGGCTGTTTTCCCGAGTATATATTGACGAAGCGGGGACGAATCTTATTGCTTATGTTCTGTGTAGAATGATGTACCAGATTCTCATTTAATATTTATGCTATTATTTGGTAACCTTTTTCCACAGCGAGTATAAATATATATTTTTTTTAAGAAAATATTTTTAACACAAATAGTAGTTTAACAGGAAGCTTAAGACACTTTCTATCACAGAATAGTAGAACGCTACAAAGCACAAACTTAAAGCGATACTTGTCTGTACTGTTTTAGACAGAACTTTCATCCCCTACACACAGCTATACAGAGATTTTCGTTTGTTCCCCTCCTCCTCTTCCATAATAATTGCAGGGTAATGTCCCTTGTTCAGGGACAGCTTTTCGTACACTCTTGTTATTTCATGCGACACACTATGTACGTATATTCGTACACTCTTGTTATTTCATGCGACGCACTATGTATGTATGTGTACTTACGTGCGTGCACCCACAACACATCAATAGTTAGCTAGGAAAGATCTACTTAACCAGATTTCAGGCTTCCAGTAAAAGGGCATGCAATTTAGATACAGTAATTAATATTATATATTGATGTGTATGTGTGACTGAAGTTTTGTTAAATTATTTTACATTCCATTATAATTCAGTATTATTTTGCGAGTTCAGTTCCACTTTCTGCATGCGATATAATATTGCAGAACTGTTACATATATTTATGGTGACGCTGTTTGAATGATCAGTATTAATTTACTTGTATCTTATTTTACGGCTTACAGTGACACTGGGGGTTTGTTTTTCATAAAATGCAAGTGTAATATAAAGTTGTGTATGCGTGTTTATGCTCGAGTGCGTATCGGTATGAACGTCGGCGTGCGTAGGTTTCTTAAGAATAACAGCCCACTCAGGTCTCAAACAATAGGAAGATACTTTTTTTTTAACTGGCTTTGGTGGCTATTATTATTTCAGTTCCTTTGTTATTTTAATTTTTTTTTACGTAATTAAAACAGTGACGATGGACAGGAGCAGTTGAAAGGTTGTGCATGACGTATATTAACATTATTATTTAATTTAAAATAATATGAACAAGATATTTTAATTATAGTTATTTTTAATTTTGTATTTTGTTTTGATCCTATGGTATCATTTTGAAAAAGCAATTCTGCCAAGTTCCTCTTAATTCTAAGTGATATTTTGTCAAGTGTAATTTTGTTTGTATAAAGTTTATTGAAAACAAATTAGCCTGCTTTCTGTCTTATGTTTGAAAAGCAGTATATTTATCTTACTCTTTGGTGGATGGTATAAGTTCTGGGTACCAGAGTAGCATTTATGTTCATATTTACAGCATTGGGGAGAGGCACAGATATGTTTCGCACAGCATCAGAACGCCTTGTACATCATCTCATATACATAACTTTGGTTGTGACAAGTATTATTATATAATTTTTTTATGCTGTTGTATAAGAAACAGTGTAATATTTAATGACATATTTCAAATTTGTTTGCTGTTCAGTTCTAAAAATGCTATAGATTTATTTTGATTTGCAAGTAGAGTTTTATGAGATGTTTTGATTTAATTTTTGAAGTGCCACCTGTATTGTTTTTGCAGGTTTATCTCCACATTACAAGTTGTTTATTTTGTTGTGTATATTTTTATATAAGTTCAATATTGTAACAGTATTACAATAATTAGCCAGCCTTGAATTTCTCTCAACAATCCCCATGGCTGTCGGAATCAGGGTATTTGTTCCCCAGACCATAAGCCCCCAACCCCTTTTCCTGAAAATACCCCAGAAATTGTATGAGATGACCACCCCATGGTCTAACCAGCCAAATGTAATATGTAAACAACCAAGTATTATATTCGTATGTACGTGTTGGAGTACTGTCATCTGTCTGTGCCGATTGCTTAGAAGAGAATTTTCTGATTTAAATATTTTGGAATTACCTTCATATCCAACCCTCGCTGAGCTTCTATTCCGATATATTATTTACTCTGAGGAATGTAGATGCTTTAAACCTAGCATGAATGACTTGGTCCTTGCAAGGTAATGAAAATAAAATTCCTGAACATTTCCCCACAGTCAAATAATTTTAATGAGGTACTGTTGGCATAAATAAGATATTTGCTAACTTGAGAATTCACTTCTATGTAGTGTGTGTACAGCCAGATGATTTTGACAGAGTGTGTTAGAGCCTGCCAGGACTGACAACACAATAACGTTAGCTTCAGCCAGTGCTGTAATTATGGGACATGTTCATAGCTTTGCTTTCTGAGCTTATTATGCTGTTTAACAATTAAAAGTCCCATTGGTTGTGATTTCATTTCATATTATCTGGTTTACATTTCTTTACTTACATTGTTTAACTTTTGCTTTGTGTATTTTTTTTTTCATTTTGTTAGTAAAATAGCCTGTTTAGAAAGGTAACAGCGCTTCTGTATTTTAATATAAGTTCCTGATTTTAGAATTATTTTTCCTGTGTTGAATTTAGTTCCTATTCTAAGTTATTTACTTATTAATAAATCTTTATAAATAAAACAAATTGCTTTCTATGGATCTACTTTATATTTATGTATTTTCAATTGACTGTTGGTTCCTATAATTATTTGGGGTGCATATGAAGTAGAATAGAGTGGAAATTCATTAAATGTAATTTCTGTTTTCAACATACAGTTGCAATGCATGCATACGGTTCCTCACTGAAGTTATACTCATTTTAATTGACAGATGTGCTCTGTCTTGGAAGTTTCACGCGTTAACGAATCAAAGTTGCGTGATTTGCCGAATATTTTTTTCCCCTGCCGTTTCAAAATGGATTACGTTAGTATGCGACATTCTTCATCAGATTTTAAAGAATATTTTAATGCTAAATAATGCCAATTACTACCTCATTTAGACTCATTACCATTGTGTAGTTCCTAGACTTTGTGAAAACTAAAGTACGTTGTAATGTAACTTGGACAGTACTTACATTTTTAAATGGATCCAGCAGTTAGGAAAATCTTCATACAATCTTGTTGTTCATTTTCAATATGGTGCCATCTTATCCAGGAACTCTTACTGGAAAGATACAAATAACAAGATATATTAATAGAGATACAATATTTTCATTTCTTGATTTTCTAGAATTTTTATATGCAGTTACATCATATCATAAATACAGATAACATTACAGGGATTGATATATTTTTTCATAACTATAAGAACTCTACACACTGGACGATAAGGTTATGAAGATGAATTTTTATCCTTCATCAACCTTTTCTTCCATGGATTATAAATTCAGGTAGCAGACTGCAATCATTCTCTTCATAAAACTTAATTACGTACCACTTGTAACCTTGACGATGTTAGGGATTTCTCTACTTCATCGTCCACTGTCTCTAAGAGAACTGACGCTGATGGAAACACTTTGTTATTAACATTAATTTGTTACTGCTTGCTAGAGACTGTACATATCTTTCAACCCTCGTAATACAGACATTTATTGTCATATAATGGATGCCATCTTGTTTGTTTTGTATGTTAAACAGAATTTGGCGCAAATGTTTCAATTAAATTTTCATTTCAAACACATGAGCTGAAAAATGTTAATCTTGTATTAAGCATCCTTGGGGAGTCTTACACCTGCGACAGATAAAAAAAAAACAGTCCAAGAATTGTATCCAGGACAAACATTTGATATATTATCGGGTTGATCGAATTCTATTATGCTGACATAAAATGCTCTGAAAGTTATGTGTAATAAAATTTCACCAAAATCATCGCAGGTCTGGATAACAAAACAGCAGCAAAAACACTGTACTACGCTTAATATCAACATAATTTTCTTTGCTACAAGAATATAACCGTCTTACGTGGTATTAAGGAGGGTTGGTATGATAGTGTTCTTTTAAGTGATACAAATTATTAAATATTACAAAACTGCAATCATAATATGTGTGAGTACAGCAGCTGGTACAAATTTGTGAGCTTAGCATCTGGTGAGGGAAGATAATAACTGAATACTATAAAAACCTACAAACATCAACCCATGATGTCAACTGTAAACAACAGCTTGCCCAGCCTGATGATTTTAGACAAGGTAGTATCTACCTTATCTGAAATAGCTTGTCGTGAAGGTCGAACAGCTCCCAGATTTGTGCGTGACAATAATGTGAATCAATGTCTTTTAACGTTTCCTCCGTAACGATATTTCTGTCTTTTACCTGTGCGACCACAGTACTAATACGCATTGAATGATGACGTGGAGAAAATCCGGTGACGTTAAATTCAGTCGTATCCTCTCAGGACTGTTTCCGAGAACAGGTGGAATTTGTGAATTTTTGCGATTGCTTTTGCTTGCTGATGTAACAATAAAAATACCTCCATTATATATATATATAATACTAGATATATTATTATAGACCACTGTTACTGGTCTGGTGCCGGGTTTTGTATTGAGGTGTGGGGTTTGTTGTTCCTCTACCAGTAGTCGCAGCACCCACTTCATCCTCTCCGATCCCTTCCCGTGATATGTCACAATGTTTAGTTAGCTGTCTGTTTACTGGACAAAATAATATGGTTGTTTAAGTTGGCAAATGGTGTGACCATGGGGATATATATAAATAAATATATGAATAACAGTGTATAAATTAATAAATAGTTATATGATATTTAAATGTCAATGTATTGTGCCCCTTCCGTCACCCCAAATAATCTCCTGGAAGTAACTGAAAACAGTCCCGTGGCTTGGTTCGTTTATTACGCTGCTGGGCCGGAATTAACTCTCCGAGACCCATTGACTATGAGTTTCCTTATGGCAAATGCTGTACAGTGACTATTGTTTTTAATTTATTACACATTTTAGAAGCTTTTATTACAGTATTGAATAACATAAAATATAAATACAAATAAAATAACCTTTTCCAGCTTGAACACAAAATATAATCTTACTATTTTAATTATTATTTATATTTTTGGTCGTACATGTATGAAGTTGGCTCCTTTAAAGGTGCTTATTCAACTCATGTCAATTTTTGAGCTGGTTTTCATATCAAAATATAATTTACGCATTATGCAGTCAGGAATACGACCAGAAATCTTACCTGAATGCAAATATGTGAATATTTAAATTGTCTCTTTGGAGATGCATTTTTTTTTGTGCCAAGCTGGAATCTGAAGCCCTTTTTTTTTAAATTTTCAGACGATTTGATTATTTTATGTTGATATCACCATGTTAGAGAAGTATTTTTATCAGTGTAAGGTTAAAGAACATGTTTCACTTTCAACTTTGTATAATACAGCAACTCTCTTTCAGCAGAAATATGGTACCTTGGATAAATGTTGGTAATTATCAACGTTGTGACACAAATTTATGTTAATGATTTTAATAAAGATATTAATTTTAAATATTGCTTTACTAAAATTCTACAACTGTC